CCGCGATCGATCTGCGGCGGCAATTCGGCGGGAGGTCCTTTGCTCCCAGCGGGAGCGAGGGACCGTCCGCCGAATTGCTGCCAAATACCTGGATGCCTCGCCGGAGCGGCCGCCCCAAGCACCTGCTTGTCAGGCTGGTGCCTGGAGCCGGCCCTGGATCTGCAGGGGTGAAAGTAACTTACAGGACTTACCGGTACTGCCGGAGTCCTGAGGGGGCGTGGCCTCATCCGGAAGAGGCAGGGCCTCTCAAGGTTTAAAGGCCCTGGGGCACCGGCTGTGGCTGGGAGCCCCAGGGCCTTTAAGTCAACCCGGGGCTCCCAGCTGCAGAGGTGGCTGGGAGGCCCCCAGGGCTCAGGGGCAAATTAAAGGGCCTGGAGCTCCCGTGGCTGCGGGGAGCCCCGAGCCTTGCCGGGCTGGGGCTGGGATTTAAAGGGCCCGGAGCTCCCGCTGCTGCGGGGAGCCCCGAGCCCTTTAAATCCTGGCCCCGGCCCAGCCGCCGGAGCTGCGGGCAGGATTTAAAGGGCTCTGGGCTCCCCGAAGCGGCAGGGAGCTCCGAGCCCTTTAAATCCTGGCCCCGGCCCAGCCGCCGGAGCTGCGGGCAGGATTTAAAGGGCTCTGGGCTCCCCAAAGCGGCAGGGAGCTCCGAGCCCTTTAAATCCCCACCGCGGAAGCCGGTGCGGTCCGGCACGGCACACTGGCTCTTGCCAGTATGCCGTACAGTACTGGCTTACTTTCACCTCTGGTGATCTGACTGGTTGAACATTTTCAGGTTTAAGTTAGAAGTAGATGGCTATAGAATAAAGTGAATATAATGATGGACAGGGCCATTTACTCAGCTACTCTTCCTTTATTTTTAACATGCGGTCCTGTACTTCTACTGGCACAGACAGGTCTCAGTTATTAGCAGTCTCTCATTCCCCTGTCAAGTCACCTCACTTGCTTTTACTCCTCCCCTCAAAAAGAAAAAAAATCCTCTTTCCTCTCAGACTGGGAGTCAGGAGACCTGGGTTCCATTTCTGGCTTTGCCACTGAATTACCACATGACCTCGAACAGGTCACTTAAATTCTGGATCTCAGTTTCCCTATCTGGAAACAGAGGATAATAATGCTTACCATTTTGTAAAGTGCTCTGAGAAATACTGATCAAAAGGTCAGTGTAAGTTCCAAATGTTGTTCATTACCTCCATCCTGACTGGTCATCTACAGGATGAAGCAAGCTAGTGGAAGCACATTAACAAGCTCTCTGGAGCTCCAATTTATTCACATTTGTGGGCAAAACTCCCACTGAATTCAGTGATATAGGAGCAGGTCCTCGGGTAACAGCAATCTCCTCAGTCCACATTAAACATGGGTCTATCCTAAAAATTGAATGAGGGTTTCCACATAAATTGAGGCCTCCCATTGCAAGAATTTTACAGCTGATGATCCACAGTTCTGTATGAAGGAATGAAAACCAAGAAAAGCAGAACTGGAGCAAGCAGATCAGGGAATAAAGTTCCAAGTGCAAGTATATTCAATGCAGCTCTGCAAAGAAATATTGCTAAATAATTCTGACAGCACAAACAAGTCACACTACTTACAGAAAGGTTAAAATGGAAAGCTGAGCTCTCTAAATACTTGCAGGTACTCTTCTAAATGTACCATTTGTAGAAGTGATAGGGGACCATTTGTAGTGTACAAGATGGTGCTAGTATCAATTATAAAAAACAAAATTAAAAACTACTAACAATTAACCTTTTTATATGTTCTCTGAAAATATATAAGTAGGTCATTGATATTCAAGACATCAGCAATAAAGCCTTTCCGAAGTAAGCTTACTGCGATTCACCCAAAGAACATAAAGGCCATCAGGAGACGACTGGTATGCCTGATTGTGAGCTTATCACAAAAGAACACCAACTCAAATAATACAGCTCTCCACTCCCAATTACAGTGAAAGTTTTGCATAAACCTTAAACTGTCAAAGTTAAGAACAGCATGAATATTTAGATAACCTGTTTTTATAAGAAGTTACACTGTGCAGAAGACTTGATATTTTGCTTTGGCGTGGGGAGGCTGGTTCCGTTTCCCAACATCTGATTCAATTATGCACCAGAGTTTTTGAGGATTTATCAATACTATACCTGCTTTTGCATAGCCAATTATTCCACCTGATGTAACCAATGCTGCATAGCCAAAACCGATCCAGTCCAAACCCATTCTGGGAACATAACAAGGAAATCAGAGCTATATTAATTCTTTTCATTCCCTCCTTCCTTTACCCAGTTTTTATACAATTTATATTTATTTTTAACTTACTTTAATGCTCACAAAGGTATTAGCTTGATAACACTTGAAACGAAGTCCTCTATGTATAATGTACAGATTATGTATAATGACTAAAGGTTGGGCAACAGTAATGCAAACTTCCCTATACGGCTTTGTTTTTAGACAATTATTGGCAATCACTGAGAAACAAGAACAAACATACACCACAAACTTAAAATCCTAAGAACATGAAAGCATATATCATGATACTAGTGTATCTGGATGCAAGTGTGAGGGAGAAACATCCCATATGAATTAACAGTTCTGGACTAAGTGAAAGGATATCACACACATTAAGTACAGAATATAAAAATAGATTTTAAATGCGTTTGATGAACACTGAACCTGAAGCCCAAGGAGAAGCAATGTGTTAGGAAGATGGTTCAGTGTCTAATGGTTTGAGACAGATGCACTAAAGCTGCTCCTTAACAGAGGCCATTGGTAATGTTTCCATGTCAAGCATCTTAAGCAAGTCCCTATAAGGGGTAAAAAAACCCTCATCGTCCTGCAATAGCTCTAGCCCAGAACTTCCCTGAAAAGCCAGAGACTGGGCCATGTTGCCATGATCAGATCTGGATCTGAACTTTCTCCAGGCTCAGGGGTGTCTAGATCTAGGTTTGGGTTCAGCCCAGTACGCACACAGGTGCCAGCCACAAATCTGGACCCAAACCTCCCCACAGTCTGGGGAAACTCAGAGGTGGGGGCTGGTTCAGGCTCGGTTTTGTAAGATGGGTTGACAGACCCCTGCGATCACCCCAGAGGGATGCAGAGTGACTACAGGAAAGCAGTTCTTGAAGCAAATAGAGAACAGTCCTGCCCTGGCAGGGCGAGGAACCAGCCATGACCAGAGGGGAACGTCACCATCTCCAGAGTCTGGGGTCCCCAACCGCAACACACAGAAAACACCTCACTCCCGAATACTAGCACCTCCTCCCCCCAGCACAGCCTAGCTCAACCCCCGCCCTACTGCCCGCGTACAGCTCGGCTCAGCACCAAGCGAGAGGTACAAAGCCAGGTACTTGCCCCCTCGCTTCCCCCCACCCAGGGAGCCCCAGGGCCGGGCATGTGGGACTGCAGACCAGTACCCTGCAGGCCCGCGGCCACGAGGCGCCCTATCCCCCGCCGCACTGACCTGCCCTCCCCGGCCTGGAGCCGCGCTGTAGCGGAAACCTTGGCACAGGGGAGTCCCGACCTTCCACCCCCGAACCTTCCCGGCGCGGGGCAGCCAATCAGAGCCGCGCCCGCAGTAGCAGGGCGGGGAGAGGGCAGCTAAGCAGCCCGTAGCTCGGGGTTTCCCGCCCTCTCTGCCCAGGGGACGGGCTGACTTGGCTCCCTTTCCCGCCCCTCCCCCCAGCAGCTGAGCACCTCACAGGCCTCCATGTATTTCCTCCCCGTGAGGCGGGGCCGGCCCCGGGGCACGTATGGGTCTTGCGGGGCGATTGCATCTTATGTCAGGGCTCCTTTCCCACAGTCCCTGGGACAGCTCAGAGAAGGGGCGGCCTTGACCCCCTCATTCAGGGGCAGCGAGTTATTTGGACCCGTGGTCCCCGTGCTCCAGCAGTATTCAGGGCCCGGGGGCCCGGCTCCACCAACGTTTGGGGCTGGGTCTCTTCCCCTGCACCTCCCCCTAGTGTCCTCAGCCTCCACTTGCTGCCCCTACACACCTCCCTGGGGTCCCTCTCCCCTGCAGCTCCACACTGACTCCGCTCTTCTGGCTCCCGGCATGAACTGCCCCCGCTGGGTCCTAGTGCCCCCCAACCGGCCTGCCCTGCCCCTGCGCTTCTGCCTCGGATCCTTCCTTTTTCTGGCAGGACCCTCCACCAGCACAGGGGGCCCCCCTGCCCGCAGTCACCGTGCCTGCCCCACATTGGGTAAGGGACACCCCCATCCCTCACCCCCAGTGAGGGGCAGCAGCAGGGGAGGAGGCGCACATGTGATTTCAGCCCCCCGCCCCCCCAAGAGGGGAGGCGAGGGGACTTCCTGGACCTGAGAGGGGCCCTTGGAGCATGTCTAGTGACAGTGGTGCAATGTGAGTGTGCTGCTGGCGTGGAGAGGGCTGGGGGAGTCCTCTCTGGCCCCAGCCCTGGGGCAGCCTGCCTGCACCCCAAACTCATCCCCAGCCCTGCCCCACCCCAGAGCCTGCACCCCCAGCCAGAGCCTTCACCGCCCCTGCAACTCTCTGCCCCAGCCCTGAGCCCCTCCCACATCCCAAACCCCTCATCTCCAGCCCTAGCCCTGAGCCCTTCCCAAACCCCATTCCCAGCCAGAGCCCTCATCCCCCTGCACCCTAACCCTGTGCCCCAGCCCTGAACCCCCTCCTGCATCATGAACCCCTCACCCCAAACCCCTCACCCCTGCACACCCTCCCTCCACATCCCCTCCCACCCCCAAGCTCCATCCCAGAGCTTGCACACCCACCCCCTTCCCACACACCTTCTCCTGCCCCCAAACTCCCTCCCGGAGCCTGCACCCCTCACCCCTTCCTGCACCCCCACCCGCTGCCCCAGCTCGGAGCCTGCACCCAGCAACCGAACTCCGGAGCTTGCACCCCAGACCCCCTTCCCCACCCAAACTCCCTCCCAGATGCCAACCTCTCACCCCCTCTGCACCCAAACTACCTCCCAGAGCCTGCACCCCAATCCCCTGTCCCAGCCCAGGCCCTGCACCCCAGACCTCCTCCCTCCACCCAAACTCCCTCCCGGAGCCTTAGGCAGGTGGGGGGCGGAGTTTGGGGGGCAGGTTCCGGGCACCACCAAAATTTCTACAAACCTGCCACCCCTACCCTCATTCCTCACACAGCCTAAGCGCCACTGCTGTCAAACACAGGGAATTCCCAGCAAGCAGGCTTGGGCTCTTAGAAATAGAGACTCTGAGCACATGCAGATACAGAACGCAAGTCATTAATTAGGGCTGCTTATTTAGATGTGTGTGTGTGTGTCTTGTATTTCGTTAACAGCCACGCTTTGAACCACAGCAGCAAGTTACACATTACATGTCTGGTCCCCTGGCTTGTCCCTGCTCCGGTTACAAGTTAACACCTGATTCCTACAGAAATGAAAGGGAAAAAAAAGTTGCCTCTCTCATTTGTATTTTTGACAGCACTGTTTCACTGTTCCTCTAGTCAGTCAGTTGCTCAGTTTCCCCCGCTGTCTCCTGAGACGACAACTCCATGGCAGGGATCTCCCTTAATAGTGTGACAAGGGGCAACTGTGACTACGGCATTATTCCTGGTAGGGCAGCTCCATTACAGCCGTGCTGCCAAGAAGCCAGTGATGGGGAGGAATAGCCGGGGCAGACAGCTTAGTGGAGGCACAGAGCCTCCTGTGATCCTTGGAATCTACAGATCCCTGGAGATCCAGCTGTTTTGAAGACCTGCAAAGAGCAGGGATACCAACTTTCATCATCCTTCTAAGAGGACATTGTGAGAGAAACTGTTCAAGGGGAACCTCATAAATTTCCTTCTTCACCAGCTCCCACAGGTTTTACAAAAGAAGAGAGACAGAGCATGCATCAAGAATCTTTTTGACTGGGTATGTCAATTTTTTACATGTTTTAGCTCAGTCACAAACCAACCAGCCACAATGGGTGCAGTTGTGATAAACAGATCATGGGTCATTGTGCCTGGTGCTTCCGATCTCTTCTCAGCCTCATGTCTGTGTTATCAGAGACTTCTCTCCTGGATTTGCCCAGTAAGACAGCAAAAGGTCTTTACTATAGATTTCATAGAGACTGTACTTATTGTGATAAGAACATGCTATCAATGTACAGTGTGGAACATATGTTTCAGCTAAGAAGTGTTGTTTACCTTGCAGGACCTTTTTTTTTTTAAACACACAAATATCTTCAGCCCCCACCCTGGTTATTGCTGAATTACACTTGCTAAAAATATCTGACAGGAGCACATGGAAGAAAATGGTTGGTCTGTCACTGCATACACCTCTCTCTCTCTCTCTCTCTCTCTCTCTACTACTAAC